TGACCAATAGGCATTAAATTTCTATTTTTCTGTCTTGAAGGGGAGTACTACTGCAGTTATGAAGTCACTCTTAGTACACTCTGCTCTTCCTCCCAAAATTGCTCCTCTCTGTCTATATCAACAGAAAGATTAACTTGGCAAGATCCACAATGAGTGAAAAATGAGTTTTCTGGCTAAGTTTCTGGATCATCTACATTGGCAATGAAGTCTTTTTCTACAAAGGGCCAGATAACATTTTCCACTTTGCAGGCCATGTGGTCATTCTGTTAACTACCCAACTCCACGGCTGTTTAATAGACAGGCAGCCAAAGACGACCTATAAAATGAACGGATGTGACTGTGGTACAGTAAAAATTTATTTACAAAAACACATGGTAGGCAAGAGTTGCCCCATGGGGGCTAGTTTGTGGAGCCGTGATTTCAATGCCAACTGTGACACCTTCCTTAAAGAACATTTTTCTTTGCGGACCTTTTCTGGCGGGTATGCTAATGGGCCACAATGGCTAAGAGGTTTCTTCATGTACCAGGGCTTCCATTTTCTTTTTGACTTATTTATTATGCATTCAGAACTGGGGTACAGGCCAGAAGTGCAGAGGCAGTGAGAGGATTCACCAGAGGCAGAGTGGGGAGCCGAACAGGCAGACGGACGAAGTACACTGCTGAGGGGAGCAGCAGGCAGGTCAGGAGAGGTCTTTCGCACCATATGAGTCACCTCCATGTCGGGGATTGAACTCACACTGAAGCGGCTGTGGCTAGCTTGCAGTGCTGCGTCCTGATTCACTGAGCCACCCGGGAGGGCCCGGCATCCATTTTTTAGGTCAAAGATTCATACCAGAAATAAGTTCTTTATCTTTTCATCTTCTTTTATGTTAGCTAACTGTCCCTTGGGCAGTTGAGGTGTTATACTGGTAAAGGTCCATTATAACAATGATGTAGGGATTAAGGAAAGGCCTTCCCTAGGTGTGTGGGGTCTGGTGCAAACGAGAGCCAAGAACCCTTTCTCCCCTTTCCTGTCAGTTTTATATAGACAAAATCTGTTGAAGGTGGATATTTAGGGTCAGCTTGATAAATGGTGGTGATAATACACAATAGAAAGAACTGTTGGAATGGAGGAAATAAAACAAACAAACAAACAAACAAACATGCAGCTTAACCATCAAGAAACTGATGCTATGAAAGAGCACACAAGAGAAAGAGTAACTGCAGCAGCAGGCGAATGTCATGTGCAGACGGGCATCACCAGGAAGGGCTTCCATGGGCCAGACACTGCAGTAGGCAGGCTGGGTTGTGTTTTATTTTTTTAAATTATTATTATTTTGATTTATTTATTTATGCACACGAGAAATGGGGTACAGGCTAGAGGGGTGGGAGGTAAGAGGATTCACCAGAGACAGAGTGGGGAGCAGAACCACCAGATGTACTGAAGTACACTGCTGAGGGGAGCAGCGGGTGAGGCAGGAGGGGCCTGCTGTACCATGTACCGGAATCGAACTCATGCTGCAGTGGCCTTGGAAAGCTTCACAGTGCTGTGCTTTTACCCGTTGGCCACCAGGGAAGGCCCTGGGGAGTATTTTCAAAGCCAATAGCAGAAGCCCATCTTCTTCCTGCTAAGGAATTACTTGATGGGATACACCCCTCCGTGGCGGTTATGATTCTGTATTTATTCTAATATTTCCAGGCAAATCTGTTAGCTGGCTTAAATGCTACTGAGAGGGAGAATAAAATGCTTTTGTCATCTTTTAACATCCTCTGCTCAGAAATAAAAACCTAACTAAAAAAAGAGGGGAAAGGTCTCAACACTGCTGAGGATTAAGAGCCATTAAGGCTGGTCTCATGAACTTTGCATTGAGGTCTTTTGAAGGAAAAGATGTGACAAACAGCCTAAGAATAAGAAGGCAGTATTTCCTTTATCCCGGAAGTCCCTTCCCACTGTGTGATTTTGTGGAACCCACTTTTCACTGTCTCCGGGCACTTAAATCTAAATTGCCACACACGTGGCTGGTGGCTACTGTGTTGGTTTGATCAGCCTTGCTGCGCCACTGGCCTGCGGCTACCTCCCTCGGCCTCAAGGTGCTGATGCTTGGGAGCTGGGCACGGGCTCGCGCGCCGGCTGTGGACACGGGAGCACCGGAGTGCGCATGCGCAAGTGTGCACACCTGTGCCCGGAGGCCAGGCTGGAAGGGCGTCACCTGCGCTTCGAGGACTGCTCGAGGGGACGGGCTGTGGGGATACGGGGAGGTAATATCAGGGCGAATGCCAGAGAGAGAGTGTGTAGCGGTTCACAGGGAGCTTCGGTTGCTGTCCCCTTGCTGGCTTGTCTCTCCAGTTTGCCATTGAACCTGTGAAAATGATGCCGGGGGGGCCCACAGTTCTCTTTTCAACTGCTAGAACCCACCTGGCCGGGGATGGCTGCAAAACAAGAGATCCCCGTGATCTCTCACCCACGTGATATTGAATATTCTGCTAGAAAAGTTGTCACAAAGTTAGAATACAGTACGTGGAAGATATAATTAACAATAAAAGCTGAATGTGGTTTCTCTTTGTGATTTAAGACACTTGTGATTTGTCAGTGACTGAGGGTCAGAAGGAAGGGTGTTTCAGAGGCTGAGAAGACTAAGCTGACCTGTTACCATATAATGAAACCCAGCAGTGGCCTTTTAAGTACATCCCTCTTACCAACTTTCCAACTTGTCATTTGTGGCTTTATCATTTAAGACAGAAGGAGAACACATGAAATTCCAGTTATATGAGGTGGCTGGTTAAATGCCAGGTAAATGAGTTTCTCCCTTAATGAGGATCTTTGATACATAAAAGCAATGCGACACTCGCCATTACCAGGCCTGTTGTCTGGGAGGGGTGGCGGGCTGGTGGGTTTGTGGTAACCCAGCTGTTTCTTCCCTTCTTCCTCTGAGGCATCTTATTTCTTTAGTCAGGGCTGTGGGCCCCACCTGTGCTGGGACAGGTGACCAAGCATTCCAGTCAACACAGCCAACGGGTTTTGACCAGATTTTACTTCATTTTGTTATCTGGAAAGGCCTAGGGACTAACTTTAATCTTTGTAAATTAAATGCAATTATGTGACCAGTAGATTTTCCCAGAGTAACTTTACAGAGACCGATTGATTGATTAAGGCTTGGGGTGCTCCAATACATTGCTTTTTCAAGCTGTCTATGGTGAAACCTATTTCTCCCTCTTCCCTTTTTTCCTTTTCTACCCACTGTGGATTAATAATTTTGTAAAATGCAATAAAAATTAAATGATTACAGTCAGCTAGTTTATTAATGCTATCTTATTCAAGAGTTCTAAAATTACTCTGTCAAATTGCTTTAAATGTTTCTAACTGCTTACTCCCAATTTCTGTACTGGCCAGAGCAGTGACAGTTTGTAGCCTGGAACTGACCTGAGGACCTAACTTTGAGAAGCTGCTCTAACACACTACCTCTGTTATGGAAACTCAAGCCTGAATGTTCCGAAAACAAAACAGAAGGCTACTTGTTAAGAGTTTAAGCCATGTCATGTTTGAAGGAAGAAAGACCAGCTCATTTCTTGAAAGACCTCCCCATTTACTGACTTCCAATTTGTGTCATCTGGTCCTTTCCTTCATCCTCATAAGAGCAGGGTCTCTGGCCTCACACTGGGCTGCTCCATCTTGAGCTATTTATTCCAACATGGTCTTCCAGAGCTTCTGACACTTAGGAAGAGGAGACGTAACAGCAAGTCAGGGGAAGTCTTACCCTGCCAGGAAGACTTTCATTTTCTACAGTTGCTACCCAGATTTTATTTTTTTGAAGATTTATTTATTTATGCATAAAAGAACTGGGGGACAGACCAGAGGTGTGGGGGGTGAGAGGATTCACCAGAGACAGAGTGGGGAGCAGAACACGCAGGTTGACTGAAATACACTGCTGATGGAAGCAGCAGGCAGGTCAGGACAGGTCTCCTGTGCCATGTGGGTCAGCTCCCTGGCAAGGTTCAAACTTGTGCTGCAGTGGCTGCGGACAGCTTCACAGTGCTGCACTTTAACCCACTGTGCCAACAGGGAGGGCACCAGTCAGTTTCTCAATAGAACAGTTCCCCAAATACAGACCTCTGCCTTCTATGCATCCTACACCCTTGCCCATGTTTTGATTCGCCTCCCAAGTTTAACTTCAAATATTTCTACTTTGCATTGCTCTCTGGCTCTCTGAACAGACCTATAATAAAACCAAACTCAAATCTTTGAGGAGGAAGTGGAGGTCCTAGAGGATCTCCAGGGTTGACTTTAGTGCTACCTGAGCCTTGGTGGCTAAAGCTTCCATGATGGGGTTTTCTATTCTCTCCTTCAATAGCGCCTGCTCTAGGAGAAGCCCTTCTTCCTTGGGCCTTCAGTTTTGGTACCTGCTTCCAATACCAATTCCCTGCAGGTCTTCCCGGTCAGAAAAAGGGATTATTCTCTTCCTACCTCCCAAACCCACTGAGGTCACTACCGTTTGATGACCCTAAACCTTTCATTTCTAGTCACGTATAGGATAGGTTAGTCTTAAACTTTTTGACCAGCTCTTTTTCTCAGACCCAGAATTCCCAGCACAAAACAGGCTCAATCATTAATTTCTGATTCATTGTACTGATATTTTAAAACTATCAAGAGCTCAATTTAGCAAGGTTTCTAACTTTCAATTTAATGCTTCATGTGATGTTTCTGACCAAATAGCCAGATGAGAATTTTATCTTGTTAATCACACATTAGATAGAAGCTACAGTTCATTAGCATTTGAAGTGATAATTGTATAATTTGTACATCATTTAGAAACTCCTGCAGAGAGAAAAGTGCTATATGCAAGGGGAAATGACATTTCAGAGAAATTTTGGTAAAACCTCCCAGGTTCGCAGGAGAGAGCTCATGCTTTTAAATTTCTCATATTCTTACTCTCTCTGTGCAGACTCAGGCTATGTTAGCTTGCCCGAAACATTCTTTCCTATTGTAACAGTAAAGCTGGCATCTTAAAATTTCATGGAAGATGCAAAAATTGAATCTTTGGTAGTCAAAAAGTTCAGAGAACACACATCAATTTTGGTTGAATTTTTTCCAAATAATCTCAGTAATATAGAAATCTGGCTACTTTATATACCCGATAACAGGGTGATGCCTAAAGATCAATCAAGTAGATCATTCACTCCCAGGTTCCTTTCTGATCTAAGATCCAGCATTAGAAGAAAGTAACTTTGGTTTTTTTTAAAATTTAATTTAGTCATCCATTATGAATCAAGTTTCCAAAATTGTGTTGACATAGTGAGAGCTGTCTGGAGGCTCCATCATGGAAACCCCCGGGGCAGGCTGGTCCTCCCCGCTTCTCACACACCAGTACAGTGCTCATGGAATTCAGGGAATTTTAGCAAGGTGTCTGAGCGCTGCTACTTCCCAGAGGATGCAATGAGGCAGAAATCAATGTAAAGGGCAAGGAAGATCATTCTCCTATTTAGAGCACCAAAACCAGCGAAATTTCCCAAAGAATTGAAAAACAGGTATTCGAACAAGTACATGTAGGCTTGTAAGCAGCCCTGTTCAACAAGAACTAAGAAGGAGAACCGGCCCAGTGTCCAGCAAGAGATAATGGGATATTATTCTACCGCTTAGGAGGAGAGCACCCGATGCGAGCTGTGATGCGTGCTATGAGGTGGCCGTGCTAAGAAGCCAGACTCAAGTGTCACATATCCTATGATTCCATTTATTGGAAATATCCACAGCAGATAAACCCAAAGGGACAGAGTGCCAGGGGCTGCGAGGAGGTGGGGATGGAGAGAAAGGGCTTATCGGGAGAAGAGCTTTACTTTGGAAGGATGGGAATATTCTGGAACTAGCTCGCAGCGATGGCTGCGCAACACAGAATGTACTAAACAGTATTGTGTTCCCTTTAAAATGGCTTAAAAAAGTAAAAACAGGCCCTCCCTTGTGACGCAGCGGGTTAAAGCACAGCACTGAGAATCTAAAGCCGCTTCCACATGAGTTCGATCCCCGCCTGCCCCGGAGGTGACCACATGGTGTGGCAGACCTCTCCTGACCCGCCCGCTGCTCCCCTCAGCAGTGTACTTCTTTGATCTGCCTGTTCTGCTCCCCACTCTGTCTCTGGTGAAGCCTCTCGCCGCCCCTGAGCCTCTGGCCTGTACCCCAGTTCTGTATGCACAAATAAACCTTTGAAAAAAAAAAAAGTAAAAACAATGACAGAAAGAGAAATAAAGGCAACTCAAGTCTTGAATCCAGACTCTTGCCCATCCCGAGCCCGCGCCGCCGGGCGCCCTCTTACCTTGCACACCATGGCCGCCTTCGCTCCCAGCCGCGCAGCTTGCACGCACTGGTTGGCGCCTTTCCCTCCGAAGCCAATGAAAAACTTGTGTCCATGGATGGTTTCTCCCATTTTTGGCAAACGAGAAGTAAGACTATCAGAATTTAAAAAAGAGGAGGAGAAAATGCCCATGAGTAACTGCCATACATTTAAGTTCGGAAAAGACAGGGAACGTTACCTGATACAGCTCCAGCCCCAGCCATCAGGACGCCGTGGATGAGGGGAGGTGACCTCGTCCTTTAGGACGCACACGGTCACTGGCATCTGATCAGGACTCATCTCGCCACCAGCACCCACAGAAGGACCCCTCCTTCAGTGACTGCACCTGGTGCCCCACGGCATCACCGTGCTGGGTGCCTGCATCAGCCTTGGCAGGAAGCCACGTCTCATTCCCCTTCTGGATACCAGCACTGAGCTTGACGACCACGTAATAAAAAATGCGGCAATTACTAGACGGGCCAAGTTAATGTCTCTGTGTGGCTGTCTCTGAGCACTTTCTCAGAGCAGGAAGTAGATCAGGATTCTAGTAATCATGTTTGGATGGAAGGCAACAGGGAGTTGCCATTCCAGGCACTAAAGAATCTAATTTGTTTCCTTGAGGCTGGGCTGGGGAGTGGCATTTAGATGACAGGGGCAGGTTTTAGCCCAGGTCCACCCTACATACTACCCACTGCATGCACTGACCCAGTGAGCACCTCTGTTTTTTAAAAAATGAATCCCAAAGAGCTAAGTTTCCATTTTAACGTCAAAAAGTTCCAAACAGACAAAACTTGAGGAAACAGAGTACGGTCTTCCTGACCCCATGCACCTGTCACAACAGACTCAACTACTGCCAGCACAGCCAGTCTGGTTTCCATGTACACCTTCTTCAGTTCTCCAAGCAAGAAAGTTCCTTACTGCATGATACTGCCCACTGAGGACAGTGCTGGACGGGGCACCAAGCCCAAGGCTTGTTCCAGGGTATGATTTTCATAACATCCAAGGTGGCAGATGTGAAGCAACAACATCTCTGAAGGACAGAAGGAGAATAACTGAAAAATGGAAGGGAGTCCAGGCAGCGGGGCCTGTGAAAAAGATGAGGTCCACAGGCGAGAAAATAACAAAAATAATGAACAACCATATACCAGAGACATTTTGTGGGGGTGAAGTGGGGAATGGGATCAAAAACGGGGGGAGAGAAATGCACGGGTTTATGATGATGGCACATGGGTGATTTGGTGATGGGAAACCCGCAGGGATTACAATCAAGATGAAAAAAAAATGTACAAAATGATGTAAAAATAAACTTTTGTAAAAATAAAATAAAAAAAGATGAGGTAGGTCCAGTGGCACATGGGCTGGCTGACAGGCCACGGTGAAGCAGGACAAGAGCCAGATGGAGAGGACAGGTATGTCCAAAAGGTGAACTTTAGACAGGAAAGAGGGGTCAAGAGGTAAGTTCACAGCGGTACGTGGCCTGAGAACCAACTCTGTTTTAGCAGGTTAGCAGCTGTTAATTTTTCACACAGGCTGTGACCTATCTGAGCCAGCACCTGAGGAGTAGAGTGACACAGCAGTGCCGTTTCTTGCAGGGCACCCACGGCCCGTGTGCCATGGGGTGACATGCCTGGTGCCTGAACACATCTCTGATCGGGTCAGTCGAGACCGGGTCCGGCCTGCGAGCCTCCTTTAGGTAATTCAAAAAGTCTCCATCAATTGGGCTAAACGACTCCAGTTCCTTGCCGCGTACTGTCAAATATGGTTATTTGAGATTCAAAAGACTCATCAATAATTTGAAAACATCCCACTCCACTCCTCCCCTTTTCAATTCTATTTTTATCTCGGATTCTACATGCATTTATAGTACTGATGAAAAAAATATACATCTACAAGGTTCACTTCTGAAAAAGGTACTCAATCAAGAGAAAAATGGTTTTAATGTAATGTTATTATCCTGTCATTTAATTTAGCAATGACAAGTGATGATGAGATTTTGATTTGCATCAGAAATCTTAAACATTTTAGGATTCTGTGATGAACAGGCAATGATGAGTAATCTGTGTGATTGAGTAACTATGTGAATTCTTGGCTTATGGGTGCTGCTACAAACAACATTCTGAACAACCTTAAAAAGAAAAAATATCCAGTGTGGCTAAAAACAGACCTATTAACTTAATTAGGAGACCGTCACTAAAGAAACTTATGACTTCCCCTGTATTTATATTAGATCTGGGTCACAATTCAATGGTTTGAACTATTTTTTTATTATCAGCATTGGGAAATCATGAAAAAAATTACCAGATTATTATTGGGATGTATAAGTATGTGGGAGAGGAGTGAAATCGGGGTACAGCATGTGAGTGCTTGATGTGGGAGCAGATGGTTGGAATTTCAGCTCGTTTCTAAACAACATATATTAACGGAAGCACTGTTCTAATTTGGAGATCACTGAAATCCCTCACTCCTTTGAATTCTGTTTTTTTTTTTTTCCTTTTCCTCTGCTGCTCTCCCCACTTCTGGTTCCTCCCTTCCCTCCAGTGTAGACTTTCTCTGCTTGAGGAAATGACCAAGTATTACATGTTCTCCATTTCTCCTCATAGTGCTGCACTCTTAGCAAAGAGCTAACCTATTTGTGGACTGGATGAATCTTTCTGAGAGCCTCCCCTTGTTGCTAAGGGTCGCAGAATATGCAACCCTGCAGGAGCTCAGGACACCCCACCTGCTGCTTTGCTGTAGTGACTGTTGTGAGCTGTAGGTCTATGAAAAACAGCAGATGCAGGCAGAGACACTTTCTGAACTCCGCTTATCTGATTAAAGAAAGATCATCTAAAAGAAATTTAATTGTCATAAGTCCCCTCCCCAGGAGTTTCATCAACCAGAGAGGATTGACTCTTGTCACAGAGAAGACTAGAAGTTGATAACACACCCAAACTTTGTCATGAAATGTCATACCTCCCATCTATTCTTCTAAGGACCCATTCATTCATCTTTCCTAAAAATCATTTACTCTTCCCTAAAAGGCCTGCCTTGCCCCTCCCCTTTCCAGACTCAAATGACATTAATCCTGAACTGTAATCACTTCGGGGAGTAATTCACTTTTCCCTGGATACCTCCCATGTATACACGAGGGATACATATTCATAAGCTCCTGTTTTTCTCTTCTTGTTTATATCTTTTTCTCTAGGGGTTTTAGCCAAGAACTCCTAAGGTTAGAGGGAAAATTATTTATTCCTTCTCCACAGCTCCTTTTGCTATCTCCTCTCGATGGCATCCATTCTTACTTCTGAATTGAGGATGTGGAGGTGTTGATGAACGGGAAGGGAGGAGGAGACAGCAGGGATGACTCTTCCACTGGCAAGAACAATTCCGTGTTCTACGAGACCTTGCCCGCCGCATTTCCAATATTAGCAGCATCTTTCTCCACGCAAAAGCTGTAACTGGAACCCAAACTAGCTTCCCTTCATTCATGCATTAATCCAACAAATGTTCAACCACTGTTTCCCAGCGTTCCTCCTTCAGGGCCAGATTGACTTGCCGATAATAGGCTCTAACTGATGCAAGAAATACACAAGTGAAAAGACATGTCACAGAGCAAGGAGGCCAGTGTCCTGATTTAGGAGGAAAAAAGATGTCTAAGTTTTCTCCTATGCTGTGTAAATACAAAGAAAATGAATGCTAGTGACAAGTCACAAGACGGGTGGAGGCTGGAGAGCCAGCACTTGCTCTTACTTACATGCTTAGGTGTGGAAGTACATGGAACCGTCTACACTGGCCACTACCACAGATTCATCTGGCCTCCCTGCACTGTTTCCCAGGCACCATTCTTCCTGAGCTTCAGCTGGCTTCTTGCAGGTGCAACCTGCCAATGTCCTTGCACCGGTCACTCTTGCCCAGTGTCACTCGCTTCCCATTCCACAGTCTCTGTGTTATGGCTGTTGGGTTTGTCCTGCAGTGTCAGGCAACCAGCTGCCCTTAGCTGTGGGCAGCATGAACATGGCCTGTGCCTGTGTCTGCTCACCCTGCTTCCCCCTCTTGCTCCCTGGTCGGCCCGTGCATGGTTTGTGGGCTTCAGCCTTTAACTTAGTCTGGAGGATGCTTTCTGCTGAATCCGCACTGACAGTTTTTTTTGTTTGTTTGTTTTCTTTCTTGTATTTCTGAAAAATGAAATGAATTGGAGAATGGAAATTGGAGTGGCGAGAATAGAAAGTTGACTCCAAGTGGGCAGAAGCATTTCCAAGTATACATCCCAACTGACTTTGATTTAGACTTTCTCGTCATTTTTACTTATTAAAATTAATCAGATGCAAAAAAGGACCTGTATGAAGCACCATCCCCTGGGTGAAAGCATTACTATGATCTGCCCAGTTCAAACATGCACTTATGCAGCTCCCAAGACAGGCCACTTAAGGCGCTCACAAGGAAGAGCAGTACAGACAGACATCACTGTTGTCACCTCAAGGCCAGTGTACTTTTCTGAGTGAGAGAAAATGAGGCGTACGAAAAACATTTGACCTTAAAACAATAAGGAACTTTAAATGTGGCATGCCATCTTTGTTAAGTTAGAGAAGGAAGCACTTAAAGCTTCCAGATGGTCCCACGGCTTTCTCTACCACAAGAGGCCACGTGGTGTGAGCTGGGAGTGCAGGCGGAAGGCCTGAGCCACTTACTGATTCTATTACCTCTGACAGCTTTCCCCTCTTTGAACCAGCTTCTTCTCTTGCAAAACAGGTTTAATAATACTTGTCAACTCCTTCAATGCCTGGGTTTTGTGCTCTGAGTTATTTCACTGACAGGTGTTATCAGAACAACTTATCAATTGCTTTTAACTTCTTGACAATGATGTGCTTGTTACAGATTCTCAGAGATGATTCATATCAAAGGAAGGAATGACTTGGTGAAAAAGGAATGAGCAGTCTTTCAACCAAAGAGGTCATCCTAACACAGGTTCTGCTCAAGGAGGAGGATGCTTTGCTGACTTTTGCATTCTAGCCTTGCTTCTGGCCACAAACTTTCGCCACACCACAAGCTTCTGTAAGAGCGCTTGTATTGAGAGTTACTACCTAACTGCAAACATTAGTTCACTTAGGATTGCTGCCTGTATTTTTCAACCTTATCTGTTCTTTTTGGCTTTGTATATGTCACAGTTTGTAGGGGGTGCGGGGGGGTTTGAGTCACTTCCAAGTCAAGTTAATGATGGCTGTTTCTCCCCTGTAAAAAGTACTTGATTTCTCAACTAAGGCTGTTCTGTGGTTCCAGGTACTAAATGGGCAAACATATATATCTTTTTTTTTTTTTAAAGA